TCATCCTTGTGCCAACTCAACTCAGACATACCATGCAACGCAGCTAACTCCCTAGGATGTGCCTTCCACCCCCAAATTTTCCACTTAAGCAAATTAACGATCAGGAAAGATGGGATACACCCAGAAGACAGAAAACCACTTATTCAGCAAGTCAAAAATGGATATGCTGGCACTGAAACTTATAGTTGAAAGTGAAATGCATCCTACAAAGAATCCCAGATTTCAGCTGCCTGCTACCTACAGTAAATATTTCAGGGATGTCCCAAAGATGATTTTTACCAAGAACAAATAGCACCTTTTTGTTAAAAGCAAAGAAGAGGCTGGCTTGATAGGGAATAGACAGTTCTTTTATCCCTCTAACGCATTTATTCCCCTATGTTCAATATTTCTCAGAAAGGATGTCACTTCCACAGAGAATTCTGCTGCTCTACATTTTAAGAACTCAAATGTTCCAGTGAAGCCCAACTTAAATTTCAGAACTTGATAAAGAAAATGGAAAGAAAAGGGGAAAAAAAACACATCTAGTGGTTTAGAATGCTAAAATCCTTCAGTCTAAAAGACAGAGGCAACTAGAAAACCAGAAACACAATGATTAAGCTAACCGTAATGTCGTACACCTTATGAAGTAGGTGTGTTTATGCTTTGCATGCCTACCTTTTCACATGCAAAAGATGACATCTGAAACGTATGTAACTTGAGAGCTTGCCCTGTAGTCTTAACTATCCTCCCACAAACTTAACCAACAAAAATAATAATTAACATAGGTGTTTCATAATCCTTCCAAAATATTTTCTTGGTAAGAAGGTAAGTGAGGATTGTTTTACCATTCAATAGCAAAAGAAGACTGTTTAACATGGGTGTGTGCCAATAAATGAAAACTATTTTAAATGAGTATTTTTGCAGTGGTCTGGAGGATCATGAGCCTAAATGTTGAACACTCCCTAACTGCAAATTTGCTCTGCACCAAACCACTGTGCAACCCTGCACAGAACAAATAGATGGAGGAAAGAAAGTCAAGATGAAAATGACTTAAGCACATTAACACTTATAACTCTGTACTATTCAAAAAGCTGGAATGTCCCAAACGAAATTTAGGACAGGGACAGACTTAGATGCACCCTTACTAAAGAGAGGGCTGTCTCAGAAGACAGCACAAAAGGCAGCAGCACAGACGAACTGAAGGGGCGTGCAAAGCCACCAGTGGCACACTCACTGTGCCTAGGACTAGTACGTGCCCAGAGGGTATCCTTTTGCAGAGTTCAGGGGAAATTTCTTCCAGTGGCAACCAGGCCTTCCAAAGTCTTTTTTAGTTAAATTGATTTAGACAGAACCAAGCATTTTAAACCTCAATTTCCACTTTACATAAAATGAAGAGAAAACCTGGCTTACCAACAAAATAATTAAGGAGTTAAAGTCCCAGTTGTAGGAAAAACAAATTTTACACGTTTGAGGTAACACAACATGCATAAATAAAGTGCAGCTACCTAGCTTAAACCAATAAGAGTTTTACTCTAGCCCACACCTGGATATTTGATAATGCATGCAAATATAAGCTTTTAACATATACCATGCGGAATTAAGTAACAACACAACCTTGAAACTGAAATTTAATATTAATGCGTGTAGAGGCTTTTTTTCAGACAAAACCCAAAAAAGGTGCTACAAATCTATAAAACACAAATTCATGTTGATTCCTAATAAACGTAAAACCTTACCCTGTATGATACTACAGTTTGCAGAAAACTGGCACAAGACAATATTTAACCTTGGCCTACAAGCAAGCATCACTTCATTAGCACAAATTAGTAATTTAAGGTATCAGGGGTAGGTATAAACTACACGAACTCCCAAGGAAGTCGTGCATTTCTGAGAGAGATACATACGTACTTTCTTCCTCATTGTGAATACCTGCACATACACTTAGATGAAGTTTTCTTTCTAAAGCTAGTCTTGGAGCTGTCAATGTCATTTGGTAATGCCAGTGCTGGTGCATTTATAACAATAGCAAAAGCCAAGACACACATTAAAGAAAAGGCCATTTTATTAACATTCTGAGCCATCATTTAACCATCACGTAAAATACCACATGATTTGTTCACAGAAATTAATTGATCAGAAATGAAAAATTATCAAAGTTTTATGTTCTGATTGATGTTATCTCAAAAACATTCTATCACATTTATTTAAACTAAAAAGTGGATAAAAATAGAAAAAAATTCGCAATATCCTAAAAACAGTAGTACTGATGTTATTTTCAGCTAGCAACTTTTCTCCTTCTTCAATTCAGTAGGTATCAGGAGACAGCTTCGAAAACATCATACAATTGCTCTGCACAATTCTACTAATACCGAGATTTTGATCTCCTTCCTACTATAAATTCATCCCATAATCCCACAATGCTAGTGCAGAAATGGCATTCAAATTTGGAACTCCAAAACCTGAAATACAGTCATTGCAATTTCATCTAAGTAATGCTGAGATTGCTTGTATTTGACATTTGAGAACCTTGGCCAATGTACTTTAGGAAAGAAAAGTGATTTGCATTTGACATTGGAGTGGTCTGCCCAGTAACCACCACTGCAATCAGTATCACTCCCGAACAAAACTAACTGACAACAGAAAAGTGATTAATGATAGAAAAGAGAAAGAGGAGTGGTATACTGAGAATAAAACCAGAAATACAATTTTTAAAAGGTACAAAAACATGCAGAGAAAAAGAAAATTATTGTCAAAGTACAACACTATGTATGGTTAATGTGAAAATCTATCCTGAAAGAACTGGGGCACTAAAAGGAAACAAACCAAAACAATCTGCTATCTCATTGTATGAAAAAAAACCTGGAATACAACATGCCTAAAGCATGATTTCTAGTTCACTAGCTACAATTCCGATCGAACCCTGATGCATATTGGCTATTCATCTGAAATACCACTACTACAGCGGTTACGTTATCCATCTTTTAGTAGTATTTTCCTCTTTCTTCTCCTATGTCCTTTCCTGTGTTGAACACACTCCCAAAAAGGATGTGGCCACCACAGTTAAACTTTCAGGAAAAGAGTATTAGTGGCATTTAGATGATGTGTTTTCTTTTCCTTTCTTTTGCTTTACCAGTTGTAAACATCCTAATAAAATTAACAGTGGAATGGGTCTCATTTCAAAGGCTGATCATTTAACATATACTCAAGCACTCTTTACATTTTTAATCTTCGCAAAACATCCCCTTATAAACAGGCATTGTATTACAGCAGTACTAACGATAAAATGCCAAAGTGGCATTTAGAACTTTATAAACATGGAAACCTCACTGGCAAAGCCACAAATCAAACAAAGGACCGGGAATGTATAGGGGCTTTTTTTTTTTGTTGTTAAACATTCATAGTAATAAATACGCAAGCACAATAATAATTAGTATGTTGTTTTGAACTGCAATGGTACTGAATTTTCTATCAAAATTTTACATCAACGCCTATTTCACCTTGGGGACACTATTTGAGGATGGAAACATCACATCTGCTACATATTACATAGTAACAGTGCTGAATTACAAAGGGTTTGATCTGTTTGGAGGAAAAGGTAGAGATGGTGGGCATCTGTTCTTCTGGGAAGAGTTACTACCACATATGCAGACTTATTGGGTAAAATACAGCAGTTTATGTAGTACCTGAAGTACTCTCCACCTGGTAACAGGAGATAGCATCTCAACAGTTTACCCACAAACACATTTTAAAAGTTAGATCCAAATTAAACTGAATACAAAACCCTTCCATATCAGGTCCTAAGTGAACAAACAGTTTCTCAGAAATAAAGTTGAAATCTTCAAAATTCAAGAAAACCACATAAAGAAAATACTCTGCTTGGGTTTTTCCACAAAGCGTTATCACAAAGAGCTCTTTTTAGCAGGTAAGACATAGTTCTTCAACAAAACTAGCAGACTTCAAAATATTCCAGAAGAGCAATTTGCACCTTAGCACCACCCCACCTTAAAGCACTCCTAGTTACAGCTCTTTCATGAAAAGCCACAATCTCAAAGGAAACAAAACACAACCCAGTAACAAACCAAAACCAACTACAATACACCTTTTGAACAACAACAACAAAAAACTTTTTCTGGAGCAAAGCACCCAAACGGGAACAGTAAAAGAAGGAATGGCCAGGATAGACTCTGATTAAGGGCAACAGATGGACGTATCCAACGAGCTCGTGCTGCCAACTTAATGATTCAGCTTAAACAATCGGGAGGTTTCCTCCTGATTTCTGTCAGAGCACAGTATTGAGTGCATTCAAATGCACTCTATTGAGTGCATTTGAAAATTCTGCCTCTTGTAAGGTAATCTTTCGCTCTGCATACAAGAACGACCATGGAATTCAGTAAAGAATGATACACTGAAGAAAAGATGACACTAGTTTTGTGGAAAAATCAATCATGGCCTCCAAAAGCTAGACACAAATGACTTAATATTTTCCTTTGAACAGATTATTTTTTTTATACACCAAGGTAAATATAAGTACCACAATTTAAGTACTTCCACTTATTTAGCAAAATCCTCTCACTTCATTTTAAAGATAATTTCATTAAGTCCAAAAGAAAATGGCGAAAAAAATCCCCAACAGGCCACACAATGGTGTGTTTTCAACTCCCACATAGATTGAACAAATAAAGAAACAGAATCTGACCCTTCAATAAATCTGTTCAAAGTTGATCTTATTTCATAAACAGGTTTCCAGTTTTGCTTTTATAAATTATGGATCATTAACTCTGAAACATGCCAGTGTGCAAGATTCATCACATGCATTCAGATATTCATTCACGTCTCTGACCGTATGGTACAAGGTTAGCAACAGTTCTCAATAACCACAAGATGTAGGCAGGTCAGTTCTATCGTGCTTACTATTACAGCAAATGCTTGTTACTAGCTTAAACTCTTTAACAGGAATTATTTTCACTCCATCAAGTAGCTCCCCATAACTCCAACAGAAATTTGGAGCTCAAATTACTTACCTGTGAACATAATGCAACTGATGAACTGAATCAATAGCTATCACCATTTCAGCCAAATAAAAACGAGCCATATCTTCAGGTAGTCTGTCCTCAAACTTGCTGAGCAATGTAAGCAGGTCTCCTCCAACATAGTAATCCATAACCAGGTACTATGGCGTGGGAACGATAAGAAAACACGGGGAGGGGGGGAAAAAGAATTTATTGAGAGAGACTAAAAACTAAGTTAAGCATAAAAATCAGTTCATTGCAAAAATTATTATGGGCATTAAAAAAGCTAACCAAGATGCTTAGATTTTCTGAAAAAAAGTAGCTGGTTCAGCCTTATTTTAATATTTAACCTACTTGAATATGTTTCATATTTATACCTCTCCAAATACAGTAAGCCTCATGACAAAATAGTATCAGCTTCATCCACTGTCCCATCACCAAACATGAAATACTTAGATACTCTGAATTCCCTTATAAAAACAATACAAAACAATTGATAGAATGCAAAAGGAGTAAAGGATTAAAGCACAGACCTATGAAAACAAAACCAATTGTGTTAACTTGGGATCTTATTTAAGGGCTCTAATTTCCCAGGCTTCCCTTTCCCTTTTTTCCTACCACCTTTTTTCCCCTTAAACAAATTATTTTGGAGAGTAAAGTTTTTAGACTACTCAGTTAAGGCAAAGATTAAGAGACTTCCAGTGGCTCAGTACAATTCCAGATATCGCTGACATCATTGCGCACAATACAGGATCTGCCAACATACAGTGGTGTCGCCTTCTCTAGTTGAACTGATAGGGAAAAATACACTTGATTTCTGATTTATTAATGAAACATAAAACCTGCTTGCCATTGTATCAGGTGCAAAGACTTTAAAGAGATCAGAACCTTTCTCCATTTTACTATATTATGACAGAAAACAATGTCACTTCCTTTAGAGACATGGTCAACATTACTGGACAAAGTAAACTTAAGAAAAGTAGAAAATTCACGATTAATATCTTTTTATCTTAGTTTAATTTGTTTTAATTGTGGAACAGCAACTGGAACGCCAAATGGGAAAAAGAAAAAAAAAATCAAGCCAATTATAACTAACAAACTAATTATAAGCAATCTAATTTAACAGCCACTGCTATGACATTACTTTCAATCATCATTGTGGACAGACTAATTAGAATAGTTTCCCGCTAAAGTATATAATATGTGAAAGCTTTTGCCTAGAGTTCTAACCTCTGCTTCCAGGAAGGCAGCATATATCCACATTTGAAGCAATGACTCTTAACAATAGCTTATAATGAATCACAAATAATAAAAAAAAAAATACTAAAGATGCCATAATGTATATCCCAATTTGATTCTTTAAAATCTTGGTAAAGCAACTTAAAGGGACTTTTATAATTAGTTCTCCTCATTTGTTCACGTCTTTCCTACCTTCAGAAAATGAAATTAAAATGTGGAAAAAATTCTGCCAAATTATACCAGCTATAAGGAAGATACGGGGCAGGCAGAAACCGTATGCCTGTTTCTTTTCCCTCATACTTTCCATAACAATAAAGGTGATGAACAAAGATTTTAACAATTTGATACAGAATAACCTGGGCATCCTCACTGATTCCAAGTGCATGAAGAACGTACAGAATGCATTTCCACAAATTCTAAATGTGCTGACAATCAAATTTCATCTCTTGCTTTGTGACGTGAATAGTAAACTTCTTAAATTATGCTCACAAGCCTTACACAGGATAAATATCTTCTATTCAGTGGTGCTCCTACGCTCCCTCTAAAACAAGATCTACAGCACTAGCTTCTCATGTTTTACAGTTTTAGAAAATACATTAAGCCTTTGAAACTTAATATCATTATTATTAACTGATACACTATTATAGCGAGATCTGCAAGAGCTTAACTTATTGCTTTGAAAGTATATCGAAAAAATCCTCTTAAGATTCTCATAACTGATGTGGGATCTCTATGCTCATTCTTCAGCATTTTTAAAAGCAGTACAACTCCGTGACTGGATATACCAAAATACAGGAATTTTGGCTCTTACAACACAGGACTCTGCACCTCCCATTTTGCAAGAGCAACACAGTAGCCTAATCACAAGGAAACCCTCAGCTCCTCAAATCTGCCAACATTTAAACTGTAACTCACAGAATTAAGTCATGCACTTGAAGTTAAACACATGAACAGGAATCAAAGCTAAGTTTCACAACTGAATTCAGTCAATGCTTAGCATCCCATCCGATGTCAAAGATCCATATACCTAAAAAAAGGTTTGGTTTTTTTTAAAAAACTTTAAAAATACTGTTTAAATGCACACAATCATCCAGATCTATTCCAGTCTCAAATACTTCCCAGAATACTACTGTATGACAGCACCACCCTTCCAAGAGAAAGAAAAGGCCCAAACTTAAGGACACTAAAGGACATTCTAGTAACTAGTGGAAGTTTAACACGGGCATTTAATCCTAAATCACAGACTTGTTTAGGTTGGAAGGGACCTCTTGAGAACATCTACTCCAACATCAACTGCTCAAGTAGGGTCAGCTAGAGCAGGTTGATGAGGACTGTGTCCAGTTGGGCTTTGAGCATCTGGATGGAGACTCCACAACTCGCCCAGGTAACATGTTCCAGTGTTTGACCACCCTCGCCGTAAAAAGGTGTTTTCTTGTGTTCAGATGAAATTCCACACGTTTCAGTTAGTGTCCATTGTCTCCTGTCCTGTCACTGGGCACTACTGAGAGGAATCTGGATCCCTTGTTTTCATTCCCTCCCATGAGGTATTTATACTTATTGATGATAACCCCCCCAACCCTTCACTTATCTGGCTGAAGAATCCCAGTTCTCTCAGCCTCTCCTTACATGAAAGATGCTCCAGGACCTTAATCATCTTTCTGGCCTTGCACTGGACTTGCTCCAGCAGCTCCATCTCTCTTTTGCACTGGGGAGCCCAGAACTGGACACAATACTTCCGATGCAGCTGCACCAGGGCTGAGCAGAGAGGAAGGACCTCCGCTGACCTGCTGGCAACACTGTTCCTTGCAGCCCAGAACACCCTTGGCCTTTTTTGCTGTGAGGGAGCATTGCCGGCTTACCATCAGCTTGTTATCCACCAGGATCTCAAGCAAAGCTGCTTTCCAGCCATTTGGCCCCCAGCATGTACTGGGTTTGTTTTATTCCACCCCAGATGCAGGACATCACGTTTCTCTTTGTTGAACTTCATGAGATTTCTCTCTGCCCAGTTCTCCAGTCTGTTGAGGTCGATCTGAATGACAGTACAGCTACCTGGCACACCAGCCACTTCTTTTTTTTATCACCTTTGAACGTGCCGAGGGTGCACTCCCCCCATTAATGAAGATGTTGGCCCCGGTACTGAGCCCTGGGGTACACCACCATTGACTGGCCTCCAGCTGGACTTTGTGTCACTGATCACAACCTCCTAGGCCCAATAGTTCAGCCAGTTTTCAATCCGCCTCACTGTTGCTTATCTAATGCATACTTTGTCAGCTTGTCTATGATGATGTTACGGCAGACAGCATCAAAGGCATTACTAAAGTCAAGGTAAACAACATCCACTGCTCAATCTACACGGATTTTTTTTAAAGGTCACTTCTCTTATATTTTATTTTAATAAAAAGCATATAGAGAACTAGTGATACATTCATACTAAGATGATGAAAAACAGTATTACTGATATTTTCCCCAGCAGGCTGCAAAACTAGCTCCCGTTAGCAGACTGTCAAAGATAAAGAACAGAAGCCGCTATGTGCTTAGTGAAAATAAGGAAACTGGCAAGATTAAAACAAATTCTAGCAGGCTGTTGCGGCATATATAGTATTTTCTTTGAAATACTGTTAGTAGTAAGATCAGAATTACATAAAACGTGGGATTATTTTTACTGTCCACATTAACAAAGCATGAAGCTGGCTGGGAGGTATTTAAGCCAACAGTTAGATTCACAAGTGTAGAGCCCTGTTTCTATATAAACTCCACCACAATCCATGGATCTCCAAGTATCTGAGCTGACAGAATAGAAAGCAATATAATGGCAAAAAGCATTGCAATTTGCAAGAATTGGGGGGGGAGATTATGACTGCATAGTAGATTTTTAAGAAAACATTAGAACTTACTAATGATATAGAATCCAAAGCACAGAGCAATAAAGCCCAAATAAGCAAAATCTATCAATGTGTAGTCGTTCACTTTTTCAGGCATAAATATTACAAAAACTGTATCACAATCGAAGCATACTTTAAGTGGGAAAGATTTCATAGAAAATTGGCACTTTTTCCTTTTTTTTGCAAGTCTTTCAAAATACTTGAAAACTAAATAACATTAAAGAGACACTTTAATCTACAATTACAGCTTCTGGCTCTTATTTATGAACATTTAGTGGCATTCTTCCATGCTGCAAGAACATTTTATTGCTTTATGACATCTTAGTGGGTTTAAGTCCCCAAAAAAGCGAAGACCAATCAAAATAAACTGCTGTTTCAAAACGGGGCTACTCCCTATTTCTAACTGTAAAACAGTAATCAGCAATGTTAGTCACAAAAATTAAAGTCAAATAGAAAATTTATGTTAGTAAGTGCAATTTTATTTTTACGAATCCAATTAAACTGGAGTGACAAGTCATAAGAAAGAAGATGCAGATACACCAAGGTTTATCAACAAATGCAAAGTGGTTTAGAAAACAAAACTGCATTCCTGAGATATTTATAGCAAAACTTTAAAAATTTCTGACCATTGTCCTTCAGAATCTTATGCACAAAATCACATATCCTCACATGGTCTGTACGGTCCAGAACACAAAATTTACAAATAAACAAACTATATTTCTGTCTCAAACCACAACTAAGAAGCTGCATTTCCATCCATATATACATAAAAGCAACACTCACTAAATAGTTTTCATCCTGGAATGCATAATGTAATGTTGTGATCCACTGGTTATCTCCATTCACTAACACATCTCTCTCTTCTCGAAAACAGGCTGTCTGAAGGGGAAAAAAAGAATTATAGGCTTTAAGCAAAATATATAAAGAAACACATTTTGCAAGTTGACTATATTTTAACATTATATTTTGGGGGGAAAAAAAAAATTCAAAACTGCCTCTCAATTAAGAAGTCATTTACTACACTCTCGAAACATGCCAAAATCTGTGAAAAGCTAGGTATCAGAAAAGTCCACCTTCTTTAAATTTAAACAGCTGTACTTCTCTATATTGTTACGTGATGCAAAGGGAGAAATAAGCTGCTGCTTCCCATTGTCCAAAAATCCCAGGTCAAAATCTTATCTTTTTTGTACATGTAGATACTGAAATCAAGCATCAATAATGACAGAATAGCAATGTAAGATTGAAGAAAACAATCAACAATGGCATTATATAATTATAATTACAATTGGAGTTAAAGAACTAGAATCTGGAGTCTTGTGCCATAATTTGATAATCATTAAGCAGTTGGGGTTTTCTCCACACTTTTTCCACCCTCAGGAAAAGTAGGACAGAATTGAATATTGCTCTTGCCAGATACAAGCTGTTTATAAGACATCCAAGAGGACCTCCTCTCAATATAATGGAAAGAAACACAAGAGGCAAAAGGCGCCTTCCTAGCAAGTGGAACAGAGGAGGAACAAGAACTGCCAAGAAATCCTAAGGAACAGCTAAAAGAAGGAGAACACAGGTTCATATGAAACAATAGAAGATAAAACGTGAAGAAAATAACCATCTGGAAAGCAGCAAGGCAGTTAATTCAATGGAGGTCTTGCAACATGCCCCGAGAAGTGAATAAAATACCTCAGCAAAAGCAGCTTTGCAGAATGACAGAGGAAACAAACAGATGAGAAGCCAAAAGGAAACTATAGCAAAAAAATATCATAAACGTTTTGAAGAGACTGAGTTCTGAAGTGAATATCGCAAGAGAACAAAAGGTACCAAACAGCAAAGCCAACATACAATTCTGTTCAGAAAAATGTCTAAAAGATAGTGTAAAAGAAAAAATAATAATTGTATGGGCTTTATTTAGAAGGAGATGCAGAGTTAGAGAAAAACACAGACCATAATCTCTTTCAGCACACTCTGCTACTTCACAAAGATGTTTCATCGATTTTAATCATGCTCTCTCTCATCTTCGGAGACAGCTAAATTTAAAGGAAAAAATCAAGTCTTTTATTTTTACTTTTCCAATTTCATTTCCAAAAACAATAGGCAAATACCAGAATTCTGACACGGTTATTGTTGGCTGTGAGATCTGGAGAGTGAAGAATGAAAAGCAAAATATCATTTTAGATTGAGCTATGCACAAGAATACATGCAGCGAAAGCAAAGCAGAAAATAACTCCCTCCTCCAAGCAAATAAAACCATACCAAGTCTTGTTTTGGTGAATACAGTGAGTAAGAATAACGCAGACCAGGAAAAAGAAAGATGGTATACTTTAATCATAGTACAACGCATGAGATAAATCAGTGAAATCTGAGAAAATAACAAAACATACTTTAAACAAATACCCCCAGAGGTTATTAAATGAAAAATCGACTTGGGGGTGGGAGAAGGAGAAAGGATGATCTTCAGAATGAAGAAAAGCTGTTTTATGCTTCAGCTTGATTTTTTTTCCTTCTGTGTTTGTAAACTCATGACATATTTCAGAAAGAGTTACTAAGAACTCTTGTTTTCACAAGGATAAATGACATGTAGTTTCTCTACTTGTTATGACACAATTCACAGGATTAGTTACTACAGAGAGTTTATATAATTCCAGTTGTTTTTGCCATGATTTAACAAGACCATGCATTCTTTGAGCACTCTAGACGCCCACCTCCAGGCAGTATGCCTAGAGCTGACAGCAACAGTTATTACCACAGTAGATCACAGCTGAGACAGTAACAGCCAAAGAGTAAGTGGTTCATGGGCTTTACATTAGTTCATGGCCAAAAAAAAAAAAAAAAAAAAAAAAAAAAGTGCGCGATGCAGTGAGCATTAAGATGGGAAGCCATATGTATCTATGTGATTTTGCAATAACATTTGAATGATTGTTGGGTTTTTTTTGTTTTTGTTTTTTTTTTTTTTTAAATGAAGCCTTTTCTTGTGCCTTTCATTATTTCCACATTACACTTCATCTTCCCTAGGCACAGTCTCCTTAAACTGTTGGCAGAGACCTCCAGAGGTCACGTAATCCAACTCTCTGTCACAGCAAAACCAACTTAGTGCTTTAGTTGTATCTATACGGTTATTGTGGCCTTCAATCACTAAAGAATTCGGGCTGCTCGGCTATTTGGTGCTCATGTCCTTACAGCTCAGAGTTAGCACCTTCCAGGAGTGCTGACTGCTTCCATGCTGCATAATATTTGTCCTGGTCTCTCCTGAGCCTCATCTGGCACCACCGTGGCACACGTGTAACTGGAAGCGACTGTCAGCACTCAGGGTAACAGGTCTGGGAGTGTAACAGCAAGCTGTCACACCCTTTCAGGTACTCCTTCTGTCAGTGATGTCCCCGGTTCTACATCACTTCTCTGAGTTTTCAACAGTGGCAAGTATTTGGAAAACTTATGCTCTTTACAATACAAAAAACACCGACCTTGCAACCTGTATAATTTCACAAAACAAAGGTTTTGCATACAATTACTCTCAGAGCTTGCAGTCATCAACCTTAATCTGGCATTTGCAAGCCTGTTGAGTTCATACTCCCTTTCTCCTTTTACAAATGACTCCCTCTCCCCACAGGATTGATACAGGGATATATGAACAACTTATTTCTGCCATTTACGTATACACCTACATATATGCTTGTCTTGCATTTCTGGACTGTATTTCGGTGTTAGTGCAGCACATTGCTAACAGAGCCAAAATGGGTCATTTTCCCTAGCAGTAGTTAGCAAGTGAGATGCGTTCATCAACGTTTAAAAATGACAGGTTACAGTTGTTGAAGGTCATGCTTTGTAACACATTTTCACTCCAGATGGTTCTTCTTTCCACTGTATACCCATGGGTTACAAATACATGGAAAAACATCGCTATAATTCTTTTTAGGCTAACAGTTCAGACTTTCAGAAATTCCCATGGGAAGAGTATTTTTAATACCTTGCATAGAGAAAAATCTTTCAAACCTATTTATAACTGTATTTTAATGGAAAGAAATAGCTTTTAAACTGACTTTAAAAGGGTACATTTAAAAATAGAGTGGAACTTTATTTCTGGTCTTTTCTTTTTCACTGAAATAATAAAACTTACAGTAATGACATCTGTCTTGGAGAGAAATACCTCTTTGTATCAAGACTAATGCCAGATTGCTCAGTATCTGAATAATTTCTGGATAAAGAGGAAACACATTGTGTACGTCTAACCACAATCTGCATGCCATTTATACTTCTTAACGTGATAACATTTTCATTAAAAGAGACAGGATGTGCACACATCAGAAATCGGCTTTAATTTGCCTGGATACTTTTTTTTTTTTTTTAAAGTGTGATGGTTTTCCATTGATCTCATTTCCTAGCAAGATATAATTAAAACATAAATGTGGAAATCGGAATAAACTTGGAAGCAGCTGAACAGCAGGGCAGTCTGCGAGTAGCAAAGTAGAAGTCTCAAATAAAAACTGAGGTTAGCAATAACTCAGACAAGTTGGAAGAGACACTAAGATAGTGCTTGCACTGTCCAAACTAAAGAAAACCCAATGGCCAAAGCAACTTTGTATGTGTAAGACACTGAGTTATTTTTTATTAATCTATTTTTAGGCAGTTTATTTTTAGTATGCATAGATGAAGAATCTCAAAGCAATTTAAAGAGTTAGATACATGCTCTGTTTAAACTTCATACACAAGTCTTCAGGTGTAGACTGCATTTTATAAGTTTCTTTCCAAATGAATCCAGGGAAATGTACTGAGAATTCTATGAAGAGTGGAGTTGTGTAATGAAAGTAGGAACCCAAGGCAAAGCGGTGCTCGTTAAAGAGCTGTTCCACCTTTTTCAAAACACAGAATGGACTCAAGCTTTAATGAGGAACTTTTCATCACAATTTTTTGCAGTTGGACGTTTTTATGAAACAGGCACTCAAATTAATTTGATACTTTGATCTTTCTGATTTTTCAATCTACAAATTGGACCTTGACTAAGTTCTAACTACTGATAAACTGATAGGCTTGGTGAGTTACAGCTCAGTAATTACCTTTCACGATGGAAAATACTTGCTAAAGACTACATTCCTAACTGGAATAAATGCATTAAAAGATTGCTTGTATAGTCGGTAATTCTTGGGCAATTACAGAAAAGGTATAATGTCTAAAACATCCAGCCCCACCCATGTCAAGATGCCATGCCACGTTAACCCTTCCGACGAACTGCTTTAAGCTTATTTTTAATATTAATCTTCATATCATCAGTAAGTAGTGAAGCACCTCCTCAATCCCTCTATACACACTGAGTCTTGTGGAAGAGAAGTAACAATTCAGCAGAGTGAGAGGGTGCATGATTACAGAAAACATTACTGTAATCTTACTTCAGCTCTCTTCAGCATCTCCCACTTATTAAGTATCTTCATGGCAAAAACCTTATCTGCATTCTTCAGTTTTACTACTGCAACCTGGAATAGGTAAATGAAAGATAAATAAGTTAAAACATGAAAGTGCATATTGTTTTCATTTTTATGAAACCTTACAGTTTTGGAGATTTTTTCTTCAGTGTTCCGGACGCTTAGCTTTACTATCCACACAATACAATACCATCGTCATCAAGAAAGAGTAACATCACAACAGTACAGGATATTTGGTGTGCAAAAGCTCCAAGCCTATTTTAAGCTTTCATTATGTATCCCCCTTTCATTATGTATCATTTTTTCTAGGTGACTGTAGATGAACAATGGTATTTCTCACCATCACACTTCTTGCTTTATCACACTATCATGAACCTATCACTGGCTGTATGCTTTATGTTCTTGGACTTAGTCCTACACAATAATTTAAATTACAGAACCGCCAAGAAAAGACAACAGTGTAGTAGTTTCTAAAACAAAATAAACATTTTTTTTTGTTTTAGACACAAATTAGACTGTAGCTTTGCCATAAAAGAACTTCCGCTCTCGTTTCAAATAACGTACTAGACTTTCTTCAAAGATACAGTAAAGAATTACTTCACGTTTTTCCACCAGAAATTCAATGAGCTCTATCGTGTCTGCTGTCAGTGGCAGGGAAATAGCAAAATCCACATCTTCTAGAGAAGTAAAACTTAGGAAACACAAGCCCCCCTCCCTTTCATTGCTTCCGAAACATTAGATATCATAGGCCTTTGTAATAATATATTAACAAAGCCAACCGACACAGTCCTTTTCTGAGAATATTATAGTTTTGTTTAGCTATAATAAAAGCTAAAACAGAATACTTCTAGGAAAGAGGGAGGGAAGAAGTTTACACAAACATGTTTTCACAGTTCAGGCTTCCCTGGGTATGGAGAGCTAAGCATCTGACCCAAAATGGCCATGAATCTGCCACAGACTCAGAGCTGCTGATTAGAACTAGACCAGACCACTACGCTACCATCCCAATTATATAAAAATTCAACAATCGATATGTTTTAACAACCATTCTCCAACTATCCCATTCTGCCTCTTTCCTTTCAAAGAAATCTTAAGGCTTAAGAAGATAACAGTTTATTTCTGTGTGCATCTGGTCACAAAGTAACATGCTGTCACACAGATTATCATCATCTTCATCCTGCAGGCCAGTGACAAAAAAATACTAAGGTTGAATCCTACATTCCTTCCACCTCTTTCATAATCAGTAAACAAGCTATGTGCGAAGACAGTGATAACAAAAGAAAATACAGGATCAGACAGTTTGAAGAAAGTGTCATGCAAACCTCTTTCAACCATCTTCAAATGTGTCATCAGCTGCAGCAGCTTCATGAATGTGCCAAAAGCGCAGGCTGAAGGACTGCAATACTCAGATGTCTAAACTAAAGCGTACCTCTTGCTTAGCTATAGATTCATAGATGAAGCAGCTGTCACTTCCCGTATGTGTGGCAATGCATTATCAGCCCTGCTCTTGACACTGCTGCTTTCTGGGGTTGCGGGGGGGGGAGTGGCGGGCGAGATGGACAGAAAGGTACTACGTCTACTTGTTTAAACTAGTTTATGAAGTGAAATTTTTAAAGGTTACTTCATGCATAAAAATTGAGGTTCAAGTTGAGACTTGGGATCCCTCAAGGTACTTTCAGATTTGAATCACAAAACTAGATTGTTACTTTAGACTATAATCCAATTTTAATTCATAAAGAATGTCTACTCTTCTGTGCCTGGTACCCCAAGACCGAGCATCACAATTTTCCTTGGGAGGGAAAGATGGATCCTCTGCAGTGATGCATAACCCACAATGCAGATTTGAATCTTGAGTCTCCTTTTACTTTACTAGCTAGGCTAGTAAAGAAAAGCTAGCTTGAAAGTCTGGTAAGTCATATCTGTACCGATTTCTAATGAGAAATGGCAGGAGGAGAAAGCCTTAACATTGAAACTAGTCAGCGTTCAAACTGTATCATATCTTGGATGACAGGGATCCCTTTGCATCATGCAGCCTGTGGTATGAAGCTACACAGTGTAATTCTGCCCTGAAGATCTTTAAGGGTTTTGTGACTGTTGGAGGGGAAAATTAACAGGTTGGTCCTAGAGCTGACTAGACTGCTGCTTCTGCTGCCCAGCGTGACAAGTAAGTTTTTCCCCACCACTAACCGTTGCAGTATAGGCAGGCAGAGGCATAAGATAATACATGTATTTCAAGTCCAACTTCAGGATTGCATTTCTTGCCTGTAGCATGCTCACTGAAAGGCCGTGTTATTCTGCCGAAGACTTGATTATTGAAAGACACACCCTAATTGCACAGCTGCCTAAATCTGTAGTCTCCTATACAGCATTCACTTGGACACAAACCAAAGAGCTACCACACTGCCTTTGGTTAACAGCTGGAGCGCAGGGCTTCAATGACAAGATTGAGGGCTTCGTACCTTCTGTGAATGTGTAATACCATTGAAGAGTGACTAAAGAACAAAAATAGACTCATGTTTACCAGCTGTGTTTACCATCAGCCAGAAGCAGCCTTTTAGTCCGTGAAAGCCATTAATGTTATTCCATATCAATAACCACTACACACACATTTAAAAAAAAAAAATCACAATCATCATCGTTTTTCTGCAATCACAGCATCTTTTGGGGGGTGTCTCAGTGCTTCATGAAAGCAAATTCAAAATGCTTATTTCAGGACTGTGAAAGAAAAACCTGAGGCTTCAGCAATGAGCAGTCTGATGCAGTTTCTAATTGTAACAAAAAATTCTGACTCATGATTACACACTCAGGCAGTGTTTACATATGCACACAGAGGTATATACTATGTATACAAAGGCCCAAATACACACAGAGTGCTGCTTTGATCTTCTCCCTTCCCCAATGAAGCTGTCAAGACAAAAGAAAGGGTAATCATTCCTGTCTAGTTATCCCGAAGTGTCTTGCTACTGGCATTTCTTAAAATTGGACTTTTAAAGGTTGGGGTTTTTTTAAATTTATATTTTCCTGTGAGCAGCCCAACAAAAAATGATTGGTATGTGCTGATATAAACATCTTGGTTCAGTCAGATAGTTCTTTTCCCCCATTTTTCCAACAGTTTTCCATATTTCCCACAAACAGCAGTACAGTCTGGCATGCTGTCAGGCACCTTCTGCCCCAAACTTGGCTACTTGTCTCTAAGGTACGTGTTTGCACATTTCCTTTGCTTAAAAACCAACAGCCTTATACAGGAAAAAGCTAAAGCAGAAGCTATTAAAATTGAAGGGGGGGGGGGGGGGGGAAAAAAAAAAAGAGTCAGCATTGGTTCTCTTGTTCATCAAGAGTAGGCAGCCCTCCAGAAACAGGAAGAGGGAATGTTACTGTTCATAACTGGATGCCAAAATTTAGAGGTAGCTAACTAGTTCTCAGAACCACGAAATTCATCATCTTTGAAATATCAACAACATAACGACATAATATTTGCTTGCATAAGCAAGCACTGAACTGGTTTGTTTTCTTTTTTCCTCTTAAGCAATAATAGAATGAACTGAAAATTTCAGTATTAGCTAGAACCTTCAAAAGCCGCACTACCATACTGCTGAGACACCACTAAGAGCTGTTGCCCAGTTGCTTCACCTTTCCTAGCAGCACTCTCCAACTCCCAAGTTTAAAGTCTTCTTGGTTAGAGTTGTTTGTTAAGTTTTTCAAACCATGTTGCCTGAAGCCAGCACAATGTCACACTTAATGCCCGCATTATTAATTTTACCAGGGTAATCCTCCTCCTCCTCTAAGCAAAACATCTGTGTTTTCTGAAGACAGCACTTTCTTACATAGAATTTTAAATAAGTAAATGTATGCAATGCAGAGGGAAGGGGCATGTCGTTAATTTGACAAAAAGGAAGCATTCTCAGACTGGCAGCAAGCACGGTAAGGGGAAAAAGAAAACTAGGAACAATGAACTCTTACAGTTATAAGCAATAACTAGTTTAAACTACTTCTTGTCTACATCAAACTTGTAAAAACAAAAAGGGAAATATTTCTTGACTACGCAAATTGAAGAAATTGAGTAGCATAAAATCAAAATAAGAACAAGTCTGAGACCGTGCCAAAGAAAACTTGCACTAAGTTTGTAGTCTACAGAATTTCAGAATTATGTTGATTCAGGAGACAAAAATTACTCCTCCCAGTAACCTAAAGCAACCTTGGTCTCATTTATAGTTTGCTGGAAAGAAAATACATTCTTCCAGATTTCTTAATCTGCCTCAGTAAACTACTATAGTCTACTGAATCGTACAAGTACTTTGCAATTTAATATTAATATAGCTTTTGCTGGCTTAAGTAGCAGTAAAATCTGGTGGTCCTTTTTTCAACCTTGCTCACATATTTACTGGTTATTTTAAAGGAAAATTAGTAATTTCACACAGAACTTGTCTTCTTAGACAAATGTCTGTGTAGGACTTGAAACTTGTCGTCTTTAAGCTAGTTAGAAAATGTAACATATATCCTTGTAAATATTTAGTAAGTCCTACTTTAAGAACATACAAAACCAAACATCTTCACTGAGAGAACTTCAGTTTTCCCCTTACTGAAGATTTTGACAATTAAGTAGAGTCATGCTATCTTTCTCAGATAAGGAATTAGAAAGAAACACTGTTCCTACAAGAGGAGAACTAACCGATTACACAGACTGTCCCCAGAAGAGGATGGGGAAAGTTACGCTCTCACTATTCGTGGGATGATTCACCACAAAGAAGCTTCCTGAGAAAGAACTACTATTTTTTTTTTTTTTTTGTGGTTTAGCTGCTGTGGAGTTTGATGCTAATTTAGCAGACAAAAATGACTTCTCTTAAAAACACAATATAAGGCAGGTTTCACATATGACAAGAAAAGCACCCACATCAGTGATTTTTTCTTACGTCTTGTACAATCTGTACATGAACTCAGCTGCAACTACTGTGGCAGCACTGAGAAAAGCCAGTGTTTTAAGCAGAAACGTTACATCAAAACAGAGAATGCAACATTCTCTCTGTGGCAGAGGTTCAGACTAAAGGTAAATTATCCATGAGTAACTTTAGCCGTCAGTCTCCTTTATAAAGCAGCATTACTCCAGATGAAAGAAAACCAACCAAAAGTGATAAAGTAGCTAAATAAATACTACTCTTTTATTGTTATTCTTACAGTTGCCCAATAATGACATTTGCATGTAGGCATCACAGTATGTAGTGACATACACTACAGTAAAAATTCCTGTTCCTTACACACTACCTATAGAAATCTGTTCTTCCATAACCACAGACTAGTAAATGCTAATTTTCACACATGATGCAAACATGTAAGTGAACCTGAAAACAACTCTTCTCTGTCACATGCCATAGAGCCTCCAGAGATGCTCTCAAAGAAAAGAGAGCTGGAAAAAAAGAAAAAAAAACCAAAACAAAACAAAAACCAAAAACCAACCAAACAATAAAACATTTCCAGTTCCAAAAGCAATGAAGACATTGCTCAGAAAGTCTTTTTCTTATACTTTGGGTTTCAGTTCACATGTATTTTCAGGCACCATGGAGTACCTTCTGCAGAAGCTTTACACGCTACCCCCATCTGTGGTAGACTTGACTATTGAAAATTCAAGGCACTGTTACACATTAGGTTGCTCTTTCTACATACATAGTGTCCTGCATGAAGAATAAAGCACATGCACCTAATATAATTAAGAAGAAGGCACAGAAAGCTAACGTTTATGTATTCAAGTTTCCTCAACCTATATCTGACATGCCCAGTGTAAAACTTAGTGATCAACAGCCTCACTTCTCACTTGATGACTTCAAATAAGAAACAGTTTAATCAGAAGCGGCAAAAAATGGTATAGTTCAATAGCAGTAGGCAACAACTGAAAAAGAAACTAGTATTTGCTAAACTCTTTAAAAGAAATACAGGAAAAATATTCAAACATTCATTAAACATAGGAACAAAGTGACAGGAATAGAGAGATTTCTCTGTGTTCTTAGAATGTCAGTATCAGTATTTGGCTATTTCAGTGGCTGAAAACTACTTTCAGACTATTCAGTTATTAGGATGATTAGAAATGACTAGATCTTTATACCATCAGTAACTCACTGGCCTCCACCTGCTGACTGGAAATAATTACAGTCAAGCAAATGATTTATCATCAGACAGTTGAAACATGGTCTTTTAATCCATGTGAACTTGCCTTCTCTCAAAATTTAAAAGACTTAAAAAGAGCTGTCAAAGAATGTATAAATCAAAACGTACTTGCATCAAACATTAGGTGGGCCTACAATATCCATTATGCCTAAACAATGTGAAGGCCTGTACATCGGTATATTACTATTAACTGTCTCTCCTCAGTGCTGCAAATTTGCAAGAGCATTATTCGAACCCTTCCTTCCACGTCCTTCACGTACATACCTCCCCAAAGGCTCCTCGACCGATCACCTTCAGGATTTCAAAATCTTCTTTATGTAGTCGCATCTGTTTCACTTTAGATGTAAAAGGTTTGGCTGAAACAAAGGAAAATATCAATCATTAAAAACAAAAACAAACAACCCACACCAAAACAAAAAAAAAATAAACAACAAGGTAACAGTAACATAAAATAGATGTAATCAGAACCCTGAAAACAGACTGTTTTGCTTATATACTTATATAACCTAATGTAATGAACTTTAAAGCTAGAAATAATGACCAGTAAGAACTAAGCCAAAGCTGCTGTGAGAAAAAGTTTATGAAGTAAGCTTGCTTTTGCTTCTTTAAAGAAAAAAAAGAAAAAAGAATGAAGCTGACTATATTTTTCGACAGTCTTTTGAGTTCATAGACATCCACTGCGTCTGTGCTATATGTTGTTAACTCTGGTTGCAAAAGCAAAGTAAAATATAATGAAAAGTTCACTTTGGGCAATATTAATTTCTCTGCCAAACAGCAAACCAATATTGTATTCAATGAAAAATTAAAATGCTGATGAATGATAACCAGAAGGGCAATAATGGCCTAGACAATGTATCATGCAATATTTTTGGAGACCACCTCTTCAAGATACGGGACACTGAGTAGTCAATTCTTGGCTTCTAGAAGCGAGAACAGTTGTACTCAAGGCATTATTAACACGTTCAATGGCAAAACCCCACATATATAAAGTTAAGCTCCATTTCCCGCTTCTTTTTCTCCTCTTTTATAGTATCTTTGAAAGCAGTAAGCAATGTAAGGTACTGTATTCCAGCCAGGTAACCCCAGCATTCTTTGCAATGAAACAGTATCAGGAGGACTGCTCCCCTCTTTCAGCCCCGTTCAGCACTACAACTAACCAGTCCCGGTTCATCAATACATGCTCTAAGCATGCATCCGTAACATCCAAGTTACTGGTAACTCTACCTCAAAAACCATGTAACACAACCTTTGGTAAAAAAGAAAAAAAAACCCAAAACCTGAAATAAATAAGCAGGAAAAGGAGTTCTTTTAAAAATAATTGCTTTAAAATCATACTTTACGCAAATGAAATCTATTACTAAAACAGAAGCTTCAGTAAATATGGTTCCTAAAAGTTGCCCATAAAAGGCGGCTGTATAACCCAGCACACACAGGACTAGAATGGGTCCCAGAAAATGTTAAGTTCAATTTCTGGCTCAAAGGCAGTCTTTCTCAATGATCCTTAACAAGCAGCTTCAGATACTTCACCCACAGTTTCACATCTATAAAACAGGGACAGCATTTTTGTAACAGACAAGGCACTGACCATCACATGCTGGGATCAAGAAAGAAACAAAAAAGCGCATCAGAAGGTAGCCATTTTACATGGCCCACAAACACCTTTTTAGGTTATGCTTTCATGGTACAGGGACACATCTATGTCCACTTCTATCTATACGGAGGCTGAGGAATTAGTGCAGCTTTATTTGCAGTGAAGAGTTGTAACAGGCATCACACTGCAGAACAATTTGTTCAGAATAATCTTTCTAAACAGGGATAGGAATTGGTTTTCAAAAGCTCCAAAAGCAAATGACCCTACATAACAACCAAATTATATCTAGACACATGCAAGAAACCCGATTTGGGTTCTCCTAGAATTCAGTATTTTGTCTTTCTAATGTTATGAACTAATCCTGCTAAAAAAAACCAAACCCTAATACTGATACAGATAACCCATCATTCAAGTTAGAATTTTGGTATTAACACCCCCCCTTTAAGGCACTACAAAATCCTTGTCCAAAAGCCTACTGCCTTCTATTCAGCAAAGCAATTTTATAAACTGAGTCAAGACACAAGCTACCTGTATTTTTAATACGTAAAAAACCCCCCACAAAACTTCTTTATCCTAGTCCTTAAATCAGCATTGTAAATCACACCTGAAAAACACCACAAAAATGCAGGGTCTTATGTTTCTCCTGTTAAGCAATACAGCACACCTCCACTAATGTTAGTGGTGCAATGGATGAAATCCTTTAAAAAATCTCAGAGGTTCTAAAGTCTGAATTTAGCCAGTTTTTTCTAAAATTCATTTGTTACATTTGTTGTAACTATAGGAACATCAGCTTATGATTAAAAAAAACTAGAATTTAGATCCAAATAGTAAAGATGCAGCCATATGACTGAGATTTTCACTTTAGTGATATTTTTACTTTAAATTTATAATAATTTTATCCAAAATATTTAATTATACAATTAAAATACAGGTTTAATATTAGATTTAAAATACTTTTAATATGTAATTTAAACAGAAGTATATTACCCAAATTCACAGAGATTCCCCAAACTTTCAATTAATCTTTTATACCTTAAAAGAAAGGTCTTGCAACAGAAAAAAAAAGTGACAACAAAATGTACTGCCTTACTGGGACAGCCTCAGCTGTACTGTACCAAGTGATTTAATACAAATATTAATACTACTCACAAATACTACCGAACAAATTAAAACAAGCCATTAAAGCCTTCTGAACTTGAAAAGCAACTGATTGAAAACAAACATGTAGTTCTCGACTTCAACATTTTCTGACCATTATAGGCCTGGCTAGAGTACAAGGCAAAATATCTTGTTAACAAGCAACAGCATAGCTGTTTAAACCACAAAACTCTTCCTCACTTTATATTGTAAGGAAAGGCCTGTCATTCTTTAATTATTACATTTTGGAATCTTCCAGGGTTCCCATAGGGACACTGGAAAAATAAACATCATTATAACTACTTCTGTAAAATACAGCTGACAAAAATAGGTTTGGATTTGGTTTAATTATTTGTAGTATCAGTGTTAGTGGAAAAGTTTGTAAACCCTTCTCTTGAATTTTTTTATCGCCTCTAGCAACAGACATGTCAATGTATAGCCAAGCAGTTTTATGAAGGAAGATACAGTCAAAGAAAAGAAAGGGGAAGAAGAAAAAAGAAAAAAAAAGAAAAAAAAAAAAAAAAGAATCACCCTAGGAATGTGCTTCAAATAGCTTGTTCCAAAAAAGGTCAATTTGCTTTATTATCAACGTTGTTTGTCTGCTGTGCAAACATCTGCTGTTCTTGTGGCAACAGCAACCTTAAGTACAGAAAACTTGGCCTGGCCGAGGGCCTTGGAAGGCGTATCTTCAGACAGCCGCTTCATACATCCAGCTTTCCAGACTATGAGGTTAACAGGCAGACTTCTTGCAACTAGTTTGGCAAAGTCATATGAGCTGTTACAAAGACAGCAAACTGGAAGGTCAGGGAACAGTTTTCAAAACGCAGTGTGCTCAAAGGGGTCCCTGCAATGCAGCTCGGTTAAAACACACAGGTACAGCCCTCCCCTGTTTACGTCCCCATCCCCCTAAACAGAATCATCATGAAGTTAACAGAAAACACCACCTTCTTTTTCAGAAGGAGCTGCAGTTTCCTTGATCACCGATACCAGAGTGGCACACTGTCTTTGCAGCTTTTTTGAGAGCAAAAGGCGGTATGGGCGTTTCCTTTGGTACTTCATTCATCCTACAGAAATACACAGAGGGATAGCTGAATTTTTCCACACAGACATCCCTCTTCAAGGTTGCCAGCCATGTGTGATACAGATTAGGGACCAGCAGATTGCTGTGCCAAATCAAATTCTTCTTCCTCCAAAGAGAGGGTAAGCGTGGGCAGCATGTCCCCTGGCTCCTCCTGGATTTTCAACTCAGCAGGCACCAATTCATTATTAAAGTTCATTATATAAAACCTCCAAATTTGCCAGTATGTTCTCTACGGCCACAAGCTGATAAGTCATACATAGAGTCTGTGGAGGACATTACTCTGAAAAAAATTCTATGTTGCTATCATCACCGTGGAGGAGACGGATAGATAAGACCTCACCTATAAAAACTGTTCTACAAAAACATTAGCCACCCCACCTGGCCAATACTTCTGATGCCACACTGCCTGGGAGAACTGCACCACCACCTTCTTGGCAAGATTTCTTACACTTATTCAATCAGTTACACACAGCAAGAAAACCCAATCTCCCAGTTCACCCTCAGGGGTAACCAATGTACTGAAGTAGTAAGCTAAGCTGTTTTTTCAAACAAGGTGAACCTGTCATGACTATTCCTTCACGTTATTTAAGTCTTTATGGGTCTTTCCCCACATTTTATGTTCTAGCCATTCATTCCATCTGTGCTTATAATGCATTCAAACAATAAAAATCAGTAAAAGGAGAATTCTACAAGTGTTTGCGATTTAGATTTTTTCCAGTTGAAATTTTACTAGAACTTCACCTGAAGTAACATGTTAAGCACATAGAAAAACAGTCAGTAGGACTCCAGCTGCGACGCCAGGCAGAGGAGCAGATGTTCTACCCCCAGCCCTGAAAAAGGAGGATTTTATTACAATTACAACTGTCCAGCAGAAGAGAGGCAAAACAATAGGTTCTGCAGTAGTGACATTGAGCTTCAACAGTCTGTTTATCATATTTATGGGGCGGAAGCAGTTACTGGCATTACTTACAGCGTATTTAATACCAAGGGGTTTACTTGTTAAACTCTTGGAGATAAAAGTCCATCTCCTGAAGAGCTGACACAGGGAGGACAGCGACATGGTTGACAACCCAGTACAGTTTAGTACTGTGATTATACACGTGATACCAAACAGCATCAAAATAATAAAACAGCAGTACTGGATGCTTTATTTTTGCAAAGTTAGTCTCCTGCTCCTGCCTTGCCCTCTCTCCCTCCAGCTCCCAGTTTCTCTCTGCAGAGCTTGCGCAGGGCTAGCCCTGAAATTCAGATTTTTCGGGGCTAACCTGCTGGCTGGGGGGGAGGAGCTAGCGGTGAGCTCCTTCCCCCTCCCTCACCTGCTACTGCCCCTTTCCCTCCCCAGCGGAGCACTGCAGCGAACCAGAGCTGGTGTAGGCATGGGTCGGAATTAAACCCAAGTGAGATGAAGATCATGTTGACTGTTTAAAGAAAGTGCTCCAGACTTAGACCAGCAATTGAAAATGGGTCCCCACAACTTATGTAAATAGAAAACAAAACAAAACAGGACAGTGTTTAGAATCATAGAATCATTTCGGTTGGAAAAGACC